GGGGCGGGGCAGTACTGAAACACCGTCTAAGCTGTTCGCCAATCACAATGCACTGGGACAGCTAACCAATCACATCACATTTCGTTTTTCGGAAGGCGGGCCTTCATCAAACCCGGAACTAATCGAGCCGTTTGTGCCAGGCTGGGGAGAAAGGTATTGTAATAATGTAAATTATGTAAAAAATAATGCGTTTTTCGAACCACCAAGCATGAGCGCATGTTCTAGTACACCTCCAAAACAAATTCAAGACATTGTAAAAGAGCATAATAGGACCCCTTTAAATAAACTCTTGTCTTAGTTGTCTTGCGGCGCTTTTCTGTGTCACTTAGGACTTTTGACATTACATGAATGACTTCTAGGAATCTTGTTTCCTTAAAGAAAATTCTTAGAATTTGTTCTTAAGAATGTAGCGCCAGTGTTCCCTCCTGTAATTTGCCCTTTGACCCCTGATGTTTAACCCGATGCCCTCCTCTCTGCGGCAGGCGTGTTGTTCGTCTGCATCAAACTTGCAGCGCTGTGTGTTTTGCGGGTTTTGACAGCTCTGGAATGCAGGAATCACCTCTTCCAGGAACATCTGTGAGAAAAGTGCATTGCAGATGTCTGATTGATAAATGGCGCATGCATGTCAAATGTTTATGCAAAAATGACAAATGTACAGTTCACAAAACACACAGAGGTGAGAAGGGCCAATGTGGATGAGGGATATTGTTGGATACTAAATCTAAAACAAAATAAAATTGGTTTTCATTTCCATTTGGGAGATCCTTTTATCCAAAATGACTTTAAGTGCATTAAAGGAATGTGCTTGATCTTTGTGTTTACCCTGGGAATTGAACCCATGACCTGGTGTTGCTCACGCAGTTGAGCTCATAGACAAGAATTAAATAATGATTGCAAACTAAATGCCATGGCATAGCTATCAGTTGAGCTTGCAAACTGAAATAAGCAGAAATTAATTAATTAACGCAAAGTAATTGGAAAATCTAAATCTAATCTTGACTGATTTGACAGGGGATGGGATTGTGCACAGAGCGCATGAAGAACATTATGAGAAAGGTGCACGAAGTGCTTCGTATTAATGGATGGGGTAAAAAAAAAAAGTCTGATTCAGAGTCCAAGGATATTGTGCAAATTTGGTTTCCCCTTGCTTTTCTAAAATCTCTTAAGTTCAGCAGACTAATTTGTGAAGATTTCTGGAAATGTTATTTTGCTCTTCATGTTATTTACTTAAAGTCTGTACATAGTTTTCTGTGTTGAAGTATATTACTTTTCAATGTGTCAGTGCTACAATCCATTACATTTCGACATACAAAATAGTCATGATTTACAGTTCTGTTTGTTGGTGTTATTGGCATAGAAATTACATTACTTTTATCTAATTCTTAAAATAGGAATATAAATCCGAAATAGAAATGTTGAACAAAAGCTAAAATTTACTTAATCCAAGCTGAAATTTAATGTACTCTATTGTTGTTGGTTTTTTTTTTTGGGGGGGGGACATCTTTAAATGTCAGTAAGGACAATTATAAAGTTACAAAAGAGCTCTGTTTCAAATAAAAGCTCTTAAACTTTCCGTTCATTGAAGAATCTGGGGGGAAAAAATCAACTCCATAGAAATGTTAAGTGAACACGAGTAATGATGCTGAAAATTCATCTTTGCATCACAGGAATAAATTTCATTTTAAAATATATTTAAATAGAAAAGAGTTATTTGAACTTGTCATTTTAACTGTTTTTACTGTAATTTTGATCAAATAAATGCAGCCTTGGTGAGCAGAAGAAACATCTTTCAAAAACATTCAAGCTTACCAACCCCAAACGTTTGAACAGTAGTGATATTGAAATACAAGCTTTAGGAAAGCAGATCTGCAATCATCTTGATGTGTGCAGATGGAGTCATGTTGTTTTTATGTTTTGATGTGAAATGCTAAAGGGAACATTTTTGCTGATGTTCGTGCTGGCTTTCCAAATCAGATCCTGCAGCCCGTAATCCTCATATGACCGAATGCCAACTTTGAAGTACCAAACATGAGTACCAGACATGTTTTGTTTGTTTCATTCTCTTTGTGTCTCTTTCGTTCACAGGAATGGTCTTGGGCCGTCTAAGGAGGGGGAGGCGCAGTACTCCGTTGTGCACTGTACCGGCTACATCAAGGCCTGGCCACCAGCGGGTACTTACACAAACACAGTTGGTTCAAAGCCACTGAATGAGAGAGAAACATACAAATATGCAAACAAATACTCAGAAGTGGACCAGTGTATAAAAGTTGATCTAAAGCTAGTTTGTTCAGAAGGTACATGCAAATGAACTGTTTCCAAAAAAACATTCACTGAGTCATTTGCATCTCTGCATGCACTTTTGTTGTTAAATGCAACTTAATATCTTAATCAGGAGCAGCAGCATGTGTTTCGGTCAACATAAAAACTTTGACTTACAATCTGAAGCCTCACTTAACGCAATGAACATGTTTAATCTCCTTAAACACAAACAAATGCACAGAAGTGTACCAGTATTGAACTAACAAAAAGAAACCATTCAGTGAACCATGAAGTGAACTGTTTACAAAAAAAAGATTCACTGAATCATTTGCATTTCTGCATTTTGATGTTAAATGTAAAAAAAAAGAAGAAAGGAAATAGGTGTAGAAACAACTTTCACTAAGGAATTGCTAGTAAAATTAAAAACTATTACAAAGAAACACGGAATTAAACATGAAATTTTGAAATGGTAATTTAAAGTAATTTAAATGGTACTACAATAATTGTTTTTATTTGCAACTTCAAAAATCTTTTTTTATGCACTTAACAATAAGGTCCTATTACGTAACATCAGTGTATTAATGAACAATGAGCAACGCATTTTTACAGTATATAATAATCTTTGTTAATTAGTTATTAATACAAATTCTTTATTGTTTATTACGGTTTATGTTTTTAGTTCATGCTAATATGTTATTAAATGCAATAATGTATTAGCAAGTGGAACTTGTTATTGTTATTGATACATGTAAATTAGCTGGTTCCAAAAAAGATTAATTGAATCATTTGAATCACTGCATGTTTGACTTTAAATTGTCATCATTTATTTACCCTCATGTTGTTCCAAAGACATTGCATTTTGGTTAACCTTTGAAATACAAATTGAGACATTCTCAATGTCTGAGGATTTGAAAGTTGAGGTCACCCAAACTTAAAAGATCTGAAAAAAATTAAAAAGGCACCATAAAACGAATCCATATGAATCAAGTGATTTAATCCAAGTCTTGTGAACAGATACAATCACTTAATATGATGAACAGATTTAATGTATAAACACATATACACTATGTAGTGAAGACATATGGTAAACACTAGGGATGCACCGATACCACTTTTTCCAGTACTCGCCCAATACCGATACTTTTATTTTTGGTACTTGCCGATACCGAGTACCGATACCAATATTTTCATTGCATTTGTACATTTTTAAAATATTGGGTACAGAAACCAAAAGAGTATGTATAATGTTAGTTGGTTAACTTCATTTATCAAATAGATACAGTCAAACCAAAATTTATTCAGACACCTTCAACATTTCTCACATTATCACAGTTTATTCGCTATAGTTTAGAAAATGGTAATAAAATATGACAAGAACTCAGTTAAACTGTGTCAGAACAAATTCAGCTTGATAATGTCAGATAACTTATGTATGTAATGGATTACAATAAGCCAAAAATTATTCATACAGCTGTCAATATTTACACAACTATCAATACTTTGTCAGGTGACCCTTAGCCTTAATGACAGCATATAGTCTCCTGGGCATGCTGTCAACCAGGTTCATGCAAACCTGAACTTAAATTTTTTCCCAGACTCGGTCTGAATAATTTTCGGTCCCAAATTTGTAGTAATCACGCGATTTGCTGTAAAAATGCAGGGAACCACTCGCTATAAATCTCCTAACTGTGATATTTGAACTGTAACACTCATGAAGCAAGCAAAACGCGCAACGCTTGCACGTATTTGTACTGGTGCAGAATGAGAGGGACAAGTACAGTACAGCTTAGCGCATTTCACACAGGCTGCTAGTTTCACTTTCGCCAGAAAGTCGTGCATGCTTAAGGGTCATTTATTTTCACGTTTATAGTGAATGCCTCTATAAATTGTCTTATATTTACGATTTAGTTTTAATCCAAATGATGCGTGCTAAGTGAGCGAACATCAATAACGATCACACAACAGAAGTGCGCGCTCTCTCTCTCTCTCTCCCTCCCTCCCTACCATTAAGTAACTTGTGCATTGTTTTACTTACTTCTTTTTGACATATCCGAACGAACAACATACTTTCCAGTGATGTCTGTGAGAAAGGTATATTCACTCGACAAGCTCGCGCATCTGCGCCGCTGCGCACTCAATCCACTCATCGTGCTTTGCTTATCAGCTGGCGCAAATCAGCTATACAGGCATTAATACTGAATGTTTTATATTCATTGCATACATATACTTCGTAGACATCCTTAATCTCTAATAACTCCATTCTGCTGTCTGTTGTCAGTGTTTCTTTGTCTGAATATGGCACTTATCACATGCTGTGTGGTATCGACGTTTGGTATCGGGGCATTTTAACGAGTATGAGTACAGGAGCTCAGTATCGGGCCCGATACCGATACCAGTATCGGTGCATCCCTAGTAAACACCAAAGCTCATCCATGCGTCCTGTGCTCGTTGATTCTGGACCTCAGGCTTCATTAAAATCTTAATTTGTGTTTCAAAGACTAACCAACATCTTATGGGTTTTGAGCATCATGACAGTGATTAAATATCGACAGTTTTCATTTTTGGGTGAATTATCCCTTTAACTTACATTCAGCATCAACATGTACTGATGCAAATGATTCAGAGGAACCAGTAAATGTTTTCTATCAGTAACTTTTTACAACAAGGTTCCACTTGTTGATATTAATTAATTTTTTTTACTCAGTATCTGAGTAAAAATACGGAGTAGCAACATTATGGATGCATTTTGCTTAATGTAACCTTCAACTTGCATTCTGAAGTCTAATGGAACTAGTTGTTTGGAACATGTGTTTGAACTTCTTGAACTACCAGAACTCTGGAATTCGGTGTTAAATTCCGTTAGAATCCTTCAGTCCGCAGAACTGTCTGGAGTTTTGGATGACTCCCATATGACACCGGCACGCTAGATCCCCCCCGGCCTGTGATTCCTATTAGCACAACAGCATGTGTGCAGTGAGAAAGGAAGAAATGGACAGAGAATTGAGCAAACCTGAACTCAAAAACCTGAACTTTTAGCCTCATATCTTTACTGGAGGTTGTCCAAGTATCCTCCGAGCGCATCTCCAACATATGTGTGCGTCGTAAAAATTAATCGCACATGCTGGACATCCTGTTTGTTGCATAATGGCACAAAGTAAGGATACAAATAACCAGCAACGCTTGATTGTCAGCCATTATGGTGTCATACTGGAATGCGGTGATCTAAACGAAGACATCTTGTATCGTTTTCATCACGCTGAATGGTAATCAGTGCATTAACGGTTAGGAAGCGCTCTGGCCACACCAGATGGCCCTGATATGCATTATCGATCAGTTCCATAGCGTTTGCAAAACAAACACAAGTCTTTATGTGCTCTTTATTACTTTGATATGCGACCAAATGAATTCTGTCTGCTTGTATAATGTCAGTTTGTGCCAATTAAAGGCAGTAAATTAATTCAAACCATCGGTGCATCTGTCCGTAGTATACAGCCTGTTTGCAGAGAAGTTTTTTTCCCCTGAATGTGTAATTTATGCCGTGATATATATACCGTTCCTGTTTATTTGTAGCACAGAGTCATTAGTTTTGCGAACTAGTGTTCCCTGCACAGCCATGCGCCGCTGATGAATTGAGTTGTATTTTACTTGAGGTGACAGTTTGCAGTGTGAACGTGGGAACAGACCATGAAATAATGACAATGAGACAATAAATTGACCAGATGTCTCTCTATTCTGTATTTATATTATTCTGTACTGCATATATTTGCTGGATGTATGAAAAGAAATATACAGAACGACAAGTGTTGAGTCTTATGAAGCGATTCTTTAAATGAATTGGTCAAAAAGACTCAAAAGTTACTGGTTTGAATCAGTTTAACCTTGAGAAGTCAGTCTGCAATAGAGTGAAAGAGTTTTTCAGTGGCCTTGTTTCCGGGTGTATTTTTCTCATTCATTTTTCCCATAGGGCTTTATAAAAACATTTTTGTTAAATAGTTATGAACCAAACCAACCATTTACTAGGTGAATAGCAACATTATAAACCTTGAATTGAAGCAAAAAAAGTATTCAAAAACCAGACAAAAAGACAAAGGTACAAGACTGTATACAAGCTTTCATAAAGGAAGGGAAAGAACTACAATCCCATGAAGCATTGTGAATGACATCGATAGAAATGATGGAAAAATATAAAATCTATTAATTTAAAAATGTTGATTTTATATATAGGGAATCAATATATTTTATGTTAATGCAAAATAAGTAGTTTGAGGGAATAGGAAAAAGTGTTCTTTTGGCGTGTTTTGCTTGACACAGTTCTTTGATTGGTAGAGATATCGCTGCAGAATCATGGGTAATGTAGTTTTTCACCAGGAATTCAGCTGTTACACATGATTCTGTAAATAAGTTGAAATGATGTGGGCTGATGGCTTCAATTTCTGAGATCAGAGTAGGTCTGTTTTTAAAAGTTATCTTTCAAAATAAATTCCTCTATGGAGAAAATGAATAGGATATTTTACTTCTGGGACTGTTGCACTTTAATGGCTGAGCAAGCTAATAGCCCCACCCCTCACTCACATGATTGGTTGAGCCAATTTTTTTTGTATTGTAAAACATATTTTAAGGATAAAGTAAGTTGAAAATAACGTAATCTAATATGCAAAATTTATAATAAAAACAATTCTGTTGAAAACAGATACAGCTTTTTATAGCAGTTCTTATAAATTGTGAGAGTCTACCATTTCTTTTATTTTCTATTTCTCATTTGTTTTTTCTCTTCTTTGAGTCATTCACAAAGATCATTGTATGCTGAAAAGCTTTTTAGCCGCCAACCATAATGAGGTCAAGGCAAAGAAGGAAGTGCGTCAACGAGAAATCGTTAATGTAATTAAAAAGAGAGTAAATGCTTCATGTTCCTGCTTAAACTCCAGGACAGGAATCGCTCCTCCGCCCTGATTCCCATCTGCCTGACTTCATGTCCCGTATACTCCACATAAACACGGCACGACAACGTCCAGGAACAATAACCGCTTTGCTACTGGTTTTAGACGACTAAAATAAATCATTATGCATGAACAAACTCCTGATGAGTCAGGGAGACGTGGACAAAAATATTGAGAAGATGCTATTAGTGGGATCGAAAGCACGTTTTTGCGCAAAGATTCCCAAACAGGTCTTTGTGTACTGTTGCAACAGAGCGTCTCATTAGAAAATGATGTAGGAATAAACATGTCAGTCATCGGGATCTCCACATGTTTTCAGTCTGCTGTTCGGACAAATGACTGTTCTTGTGTCTTTTCCAGGCATGACCATTCCGGATGAAGACACGGAAGCAGGTCAAACCAGCAAATACTGCTTGGTTGCGATTGGAAGACTGCAGGTATGTCTGGATCTCTGATGTATATGGCAACAAAATTGGCAACTGCATGACAACATGCTTGCAACTCCTTGGAGCATTATAGCAACTGTATAGTAACATTTGAGCAACCAAGCAGAACACCTTAGAAACTGCATGGCAACATTCTAACAGCTAGAGCACCCTAGCAACTTCATGGCAACATTCTAACAACTAGAACACCTTAGCAACTGCATGGCAACATTCTAACAACTTAAACGCCTTAGCAACTGCATAGCTACATTCTAACAACTAGAACACCCTAGCAACTGCATGGCTACATTTTAACAGCTAGAACACCCTAGCAACTGCATGGCTACATTTTAACAGCTAGAACACCCTAGCAACTGCATGGCTACATTTGAACGACTAGAACACCTTAGAAACTGCATGGCAACATTCTAACAGCTAGAGCACCCTAGCAACTTCATGGCAACAACATTCTACCAACTAGAACACCTTAGCAACTGCATGGCAACATTCTAACAACTTAAACGCCTTAGCAACTGCATAGCTACATTATAACAACTAGAACACCCTAGCAACTGCATGGCTACATTTGAACGACTAGAACACCTTAGAAACTGCATGGCAACATTCTAACAGCTAGGGCACCCTAGCAACTTCATGGCAACAACATTCTACCAACTAGAACACCTTAGCAACCGCATGGCAACATTCTAACAACTATAACACCTTAGAAACTACATGGCAACATTCTAACAGCTAGAGCACCCTAGCAACTTCATGGCAACATTCTAACAACTAGAACACCTTAGCAACTGCATGGCAACATTCTAACAACTTGAACACCTTAGCAACCGCATGGCAATATTCTAACAACTATAACACCCTAGCAACTGCATGGTAACATTCTACCAACTATCTTATTTACTTAAAAAACACCCTAGTAACCGCATGGCAACATTCTGACAACTAGAACACCCTAGCAACTGCATGGCTACATTTTAACAGCTAGAACACCCTAGCAACTGCATGGCTACATTTGAACGACTAGAACACCTTAGAAACTGCATGGCAACATTCTAACAGCTAGAGCACCCTAGCAACTTCATGGCAACAACATTCTACCAACTAGAACACCTTAGCAACTGCATGGCAACATTCTAACAACTTAAACGCCTTAGCAACTGCATAGCTACATTCTAACAACTAGAACACCCTAGCAACTGCATGGCTACATTTTAACAGCTAGAACACCCTAGCAACTGCATGGCTACATTTGAACGACTAGAACACCTTAGAAACTGCATGGCAACATTCTAACAGCTAGAGCACCCTAGCAACTTCATGGCAACAACATTCTACCAACTAGAACACCTTAGCAACTGCATGGCAACATTCTAACAAGTAGAACATCCTAGCAACCACAAAGCAACATTCTAACAACTAGACCATCTTAGCAACTGCATGGCAACATTCTAAAAACTAGAACATCCTAGTAACCTCATGGCAGCATTCTAAAAACTAGAACACCCTAGCAACTAGAACTCCCTAGTTAACTGCATGGCAACATTCTAACAACTAGAACACTCTAGTAAGCTCGTTACAACATTCTAAAAACTAGAACTCCCTAGTAACTGCATGGCAACATTCTAACAACTAAAACACCCTAGCAACCACAAAGCAACATTCTAAGAACTAGAACATCCAAGTAACCTCATGGCAACATTCTAATAACTAGAACATTCTAGCAACTGCATGGCAACATTCTAACATCTAGAACACCTTAGTAACTGCATGGCAACATTCTAACAACTAGACCATCCTAGCAAATGCATGGCAACATTCTAACAACTAGAACATCCTAGTAACCTCATGGCAGCATTCTAAAAACTAGAACACCCTAGCAACTGCATGGCAACATTCTAACAAGTAGAACATCCTAGCAACCACAAAGCAACATTCTAACAACTAGAACACCTTAGCAACTGCATGGCAACATTCTAACAACTTAAACGCCTTAGCAACTGCATAGCTACATTATAACAACTAGAACACCCTAGCAACTGCATGGCTACATTTGAACGACTAGAACACCTTAGAAACTGCATGGCAACATTCTAACAGCTAGGGCACCCTAGCAACTTCATGGCAACAACATTCTACCAACTAGAACACCTTAGCAACCGCATGGCAACATTCTAACAACTATAACACCTTAGAAACTACATGGCAACATTCTAACAGCTAGAGCACCCTAGCAACTTCATGGCAACATTCTAACAACTAGAACACCTTAGCAACTGCATGGCAACATTCTAACAACTTGAACACCTTAGCAACCGCATGGCAATATTCTAACAACTATAACACCCTAGCAACTGCATGGTAACATTCTACCAACTATCTTATTTACTTAAAAAACACCCTAGTAACCGCATGGCAACATTCTGACAACTAGAACACCCTAGCAACTGCATGGCAATATTCTAACAACGAAACACCCTAGTAACCACATGGCAACATTCTAACAATGAAACACCCTAGTAACCGCATGGCAATATTCTAACTACTAGAACACCTTAGCAACTGCATGGCAACATTCTAACAACTATAACAACCTAGCAACTGCATGGCAACATTCTAGCAGCTATCTTTTTTTTTACTTAAAAAAACACCATAGTAACTGCATGGCAACATTCTAACAACTTGAACAACTTAGCAACCGCATGGCAACATTCTAACGACAAAACACCCTAGTAACCGCATGGCAACATTCTAAAAAAAAAAAATATCTTTCTTTTTTTATTTACTTAAAAATCACCCTAGTAATGGCAGCATTCTAACAACTAGAACACCCTAGCAACCGCATGGCAACATTCTAACAACTACAATGCCTTAGAAACCACATGGCAACATTCTAACAACTAAAACACCTTAGCAACCACATAGCAACAGGCTAGTAACCATTCAGAACACCCTAGCAACTGCATAGCAACATATTAGTAAGCTTCCTCAACACCCTAGTGGACATAACGTTAAAACCACTGCATAGCAACCTCCTAGCAAGAACCCACATCTCCTGGAGTTGTTGTGCACATGCAGGCAAACTCTGGACAGAAGATGTATTAGGATATGTTGAACCTGTCCTTTACCTTAACTTAATCATATTTCTTGTCACATATTTCTGGGAACTTAATTCATCTATCATTATAAAAAAGTACCTTGTCGGCTCTCGAATAACAAACTCACTGCAGAAACTATTACAACTTCTGCAACTTTTGGATACTTAATGTTTCAAAATGTGTCTAGTTCATGTCTTTTTGATATGTCTAGCATTTAAATGTGATTTTTATTCAATAAATACCTTCCCACATCTTAATGTGCATAGACAGTTGTAACTAATTCTTCCACAATCCCATGATAGCGCGGAACTACAAAACATGCATCTATTTGTTTGAGCATCCTGACTATCTGTTTGTGTAAAAATCCCTTTATCTCGTCTCTCAGGTGACCAGCTCACCAGTTTCCATGGATATGAACGGACTCTCTGTGCCGACGGAGTTCCTTTCCCGCCACAACTCAGATGGCATCATCACTTTTGTGGACCCTCGTTGCATCAACGTGATTGGCTATCAGCCTCAGGTCAGTTTCACTGAATGCGCAGCTTTATATTAAATGTGCTATATGTAATTTTTTAAACTGTACTACAGCATAAAATTTCCATAATATGTTTGCAGATATTTAGGAAACATGCTAAGTTCACAAACGTGTTTCTTCGAAAAACAATGCTACAGACAGTTATTCTACTTTGAAATGTTCATTCCATGTCGGAATGTCTGTTTTTGTTTTTGTCTGTGTGATTCCACTGCCAATTTAACCAATAGTATTTCGACACCCCGGGTTGCCAGTTGTCAGAAAACACAGCATATTGCAGCCATGGAAATTAACTGGGTCAGAAATTGTGACGAAAAAAGCCTCAGCATCCATTTAAAGATCTCTATGACCAAAGGCATATTAAAATGCAGATAGATCAACTCATCAGCTTACAGTGTAAGGCTTGTCGCCTTCCGTTGTCAGTTGCTCTCATTCATGTTGCGTGTCCTCAATCTGGCAACCCATTTGAGCCTCGAGTCTGAGGAGGAGGGGTGGGAGAAATGATTCTCTCCAATATTTTGTGTTTAGACTCCAGTATCCATTTCTACCGACATCTGTCAATATTACATACTGCACCTTTAATGCACAGTAGCTAAAACAATGTATTGATGATATTTATGCCCTGTTTGTTTAGTTCAGATATGACTTCAATCACAGATTCATGACAAGTCAGGCAGGCTGTTTTCTGAATAATAGAGAATATGGAGGTTTATTCTTGAAATAGTCAACATTTTCCAGTTATTATTCATTATGACCCTGATGCTGTCTGTGCTCTGTTTAACAAGTACAAAGAGTTTGTATGAATCAAGCGTTCATATGACTGTTCCTTTTCTTGGGTTTGAACAGGATCTTCTTGGCAAAGACATTTTGGAGTTCTGCCACCCGGAGGACCAGAGCCACCTCCGAGAGAGCTTCCAACAGGTACACCAACAAAAGCAAACCCAACCGCCAGGACTGATCCAGTCCTACACACATTCATCAGCACCGTGATCCTGTAGGAAAGAAACATCATAAATGAGATCTCTCGATGTTCTTTTCAAGAAGAAATAAGGGCTAATTGAGTCTACTAGGGCTGGATTCACAAAACATTCTTAAGAATAATATTCTTCTTTTATAAATTAAGAATCATCATATAATCAGATGATGCCATTTTCTTCTTAATAAAAAAAAAAAAGATTTTTAAGGAAATATTTGAGATGCACATCCCTAAAATAAATGCAACAATTCCTGTCGAGCTAGTCATGGCAAAAATAATGTGCACACGTATTGTTATTTGTATTGTAATGTGCAGGCAGTGCAAAATGCAGCATTTGAAGTGATCAGTGAATTTTCATCAAAAATCGCCATGTAGTCAGGCTATTTTTCAAGAATTGTAATTGGGAATATGTGTACGAACTTCCTACAACTTTTTAATAAATCTAGCATAATAAAGACGAAGCACAAATGAATGCAACAGACAGATTCTTTAAAAATAACCATTAAAAATTGCAGTGCATTAGAACATGCAACGTCATGTACAGTGCCTTGCGAAAGTATTCATACCCCATTCATTTTTTCACATTTTGTTATGTTGCTGCCTTATGTTAAACTGCTTTAAATTACTTTTTTTCCACATCAATCTACACTCCATACACCATACTGACAAAGCAAAAACAGAATTGTCACTACTTCGTAAATTTATTAAAAATAAAAAAACTGAAATAAGTACATTGCATAAGTATTCAACTAAATATTTCGCTGAAGCACCTTTACAGTCTCAAGTCTTTTTTTGTTTAATGCGACAATCTTTGATCATCATCATTTGGCAATTATCTGCCATTCTTCTCCTCACCTCTTCACCTCTCAAGCTCTGTCAGGTTGGATGGGAGCAAATGCACATTTTCAAGTTTCTCCAGAATTATTTGATTGGGTTCAAGCTCAGGCTCTGGCTGGGCCACTCAAGGACATTCACAGAGTTGTCTGTAAGCCACTCTTGCTGTGTGCTTAAGGTCATTGTCCTGTTGGAAGGTGAACTTTCTGCTCAGTCTGAGGTTCTGAATTCCAAGTGTGTTTTCATGTGTCTTCACTGAGGAGAAGATTGAGTCTGGCCACTCCGACATAAAGCCCAGATCGTTGGAGTGTTGCAGTGATATTTATCCTTCTCTAGATTTCTCCCATCTGCATATATGATTAGGGGTGCTCCGATTGATCGGCTACCGATCACTATCGGATGATAATTGCTTTGGATGATTGATCGGCGGTCTCTAAAAAGGCCGATCTCAAAAAACCGATCTCAAGCTGATGACGCTGCCATGAGAAGGTTTGGCACGACATGCAGCGGCACCGTCTCAGTCTCTGTCCTGCGCGGGTGAAATAATTATAATGCTGAAGGTAAGGTACTCGCCTTCATATTTCTTCATTAAATAACTTATAAAGTAATTTGAAAACCTTGTGTGAGACGTAATTTCACAAACAGCGTGAGTGAATCACCACGCTCTCACTCTTTCTCTCTCAAAATACGCAAATGGCTTCAAATCACCACACATCGCGTCTGCACTATAAGCGAGCTGCACGCTGCACAGCTGACACAGGAATTGTCACTTGCACTATCGAGGCAGTGTCACATCGTCACTAAAGTTTATAAATTGCATTACATTTTAATTCTTGCCAGTGTTTAACCATTCAGCGCTCGCGTGTTCTCCTGGAGACCGTGCGCTCATGCACACTCGCAGCGCACACACATAATGCCAGGTTCACATTACTCCGTTTGCAGTGTGAATGTGGTGCGTATTTTTTCCGCGCTCATGTGAACGGATTAAAGCGTTCACTGCACACGGTTGCTGTCCGGCAGCGCGTCTGCAGCAGTGCAGAGATAGTTTCCGCC